TCTACAGTAAGTCTGTTGTGGCTCTACTGTCTAGCAGGTTAGTCCTGTGTAACTGACCTCTTCTCTCCGTGTTTCTCTCAGACGTGGCTGAAGAACTACGGCTACCTGCTGCCGCACGACGTTCGGACATCAGACCTGCGGCAGGAGAAGGCCATGCAGTCTGCCGTGGCCGCCATGCAGCGCTTCTACGGCATCCCTGTGACGGGAGTGTTGGATGAGACGACTATCGAGTGAGTAAGAAAGGCAGCGCACTCCTCGTGCAGGCGGGGACCGTTGCATCATGAAGGGCATGTGGTGTAACATCTTGGCCAAATCAAACATGCGTATCATAAAAAATGAGATTTCCATACCAGATCAGTCGGAGGTAGATTTAATAGCCTTCGGTGCTGTTGGAAAATCTGTTACTGTTGGTCAAACACGAAGGACGAGGAAAGGGGGGAAGGCATGTTCGCAGGCAGCGAGAGTCAGTCAGTTTTCATCTCTTGGCACTGTTCAGAAAAGCTGTCATGATGATGCGTATTCAATAATCAGTAAATTTTGTATTAATACTTTAAATAACTGTGTAAATGTTCCCTTTGTATGGCTAACACACACACGACACACACTATATTATACTACATGATATTATTTCTTTGCAACTTTGCTCATTTCTCAATAAGTGAATCTTTATTTTTATTCACAGTCCAAAAAAATACTTTTTGTTAATCTGGGTTTTGGTGCTCCTCACTTCATCCTCTACCTGAAACAAAACGGTAGCTCCTGCGCCTTTAAGGCTCTGCTCCATGAAAGCCTGCTGTGTTCTGATTGGCCAGCTTCCAGAAGCCTACTGAGGGGCAGCACCCGCTGCCTGTGAGCTATGCTGCTTGACTTTGGTGTGTCTGTAGCGGTGATCTCCAAACGATGGACCACACTTACATTTACCGTTGAATATTTCCACTGAAGGAGAAACAGAGAAGCTTTATTTTCTGATCACTAACGTGACCACCCACCAGTGTAACAGTGTAAACAGTTTAAAGTGTTACACTCTTCTGTTTTTGCTAACCTGAGCCTCTTTAGCTGCTCTGCATTTACTAGCTCGTCTCTGACGGCGTCCGCCTGCTGTTTGCTGCTGAGCGCGTTGTCTGAAGCTGTTCTTCAGATGTTTTCGAAGCGTCTGAAACGACACTGTGAAAACGATACGACTGAAGCAGAATGTAAAGCGTGAGCCAGAAATTCAAAACAATGATTTAAAGAATCCGAGGAGCTCTGCGAAGCTCAGCGTTGACCCCCTTTTGACATTTCACAGACACTTAATCCATCCAGAAGCAATCAGCCTCACTGCTTTCAATTTAAATGTGTTTCCTGTGCTTCAGCACACAAACTGCTCTCCACAAGTGGATCTGCTTCCTGTGGGTGCTGCTCATCCTCACATCGTCTTCAACAGTCTGCTTTTTAAAATGTTTTAGCAGAAATCTAATGGCGGTCGTTATGTTCCAAGAGTTCTTTGGAAGATCGTGCATCTCCATTAAACTCAGAGATTATCAGTCTTATCACTCC